CGCGAGCACATCATTTCCAAATAAACTAGTTTGTGATGATTTTTTTTTGTTCAGTCACATCAAAAATAGAATCAACCATTAAAGCAATTATAGATTATTTTTCTTCAGTCATGTTGTTTCTGCCTTAAAGATGGCTCCAAATACAAGCATCTTTAATTTAAATTGAGACGGAACAGACCTGGATCAAGCCTTTTGCATATTTCCTTGAACTGTCACTTTAATAAGGACTAATTTATTAAACTTCTTGTCATTTCTGCTCTTATGTTTCCTGAGGTTGGAGTTTCTGTTTCAGTGCTCATGGCAGTGAGTTATTTATTTGTGACTCTCTTTCTTGTGAGGGATTCTTAGATTGTATTGTACACCCTCTAACTTCTCTGTTGCTGTTATTGGGCATTTGAAGAATCAGCTCTTTGTCATTACGTTTGTTGAGTTAAGCTCGAGGGGTCTAAATGTAGTCAGAATTATTAACTGATGACCCGAAGAGAAGCCAAGCGGAGGAGGAACTGTGTAGAGACGTGGTTCCATTCAGTCGCTGCCAACATGTGATCTCACCAAAGCATTTTTCACAGATAACAACAAACAGTGATTATTTTGTCACAAGTAGCACAGAGTGTTGAGCCTGAGTGTTGCGGCTATCAGTGATTATACACTTCATCACCGCTCTGCTTGGATCTCTAATTTAACCTGCAATTAATGAACATAAACTGAAATTAGGCTTGAAGCACGTAACTCATATATTTGTGAATCAAAATAGTCTGCAGCTTGGAGAATAAGCCGTTCACTAAAAGGTTTGAATAATTTTTGCATGGGTGTTGTCTGCTGTGAAAGTGGCATTTTGTAACACTTGGATTATTTAGAGGCCTTTGTGTGTGTACCCATGCTGTAGTGAGGTGTCAGTGTTGGGGCCTTGGCAGCGCCTGTGGAAACATTTACCCGTAGCTCTTTGGATGCAGTGGATCTCTGAGCTGTACCACTACAAAGTGTTTTTTTAATTTATTTTTTTTACTGAGGATAAGCATTTCTTTTCTAGTTGTATTATCAGTATGTATGTTGAATATATTTGTAAACTGGGATCATATAACTATGAAATCCTTTAATGTTGTATTTTAGGATTCATTAACAAACTTCTGCCAGGAATTTCTAATTTTGCACATAACATCATACATTTTGAATTACAGGTCCTTCTCAAAAAATTAGCATATTGTGATAAATGTCATTATTTTCCATAATATAATGATAAAAATGAAACTTTCATATATTTCAGATTCATTGCACACCAACTGAAATATTTCAGGTCTTTAATTGTTTTAATACTGATGATTATGGCATACAGCTCATGAAAACCCAAAATGCCTGTCCCAAAAAATTAGCATATTTCATCCCACCAATGAAAGACAAGTGTTTTTAATACAAAAAACGCCAACCTTCAAATAATCATGTTCAGTTATGCACTCAATACTTGGTCGGGAATCCTTTTGCATGAATGACTGCTTCAATGCGGTGTGGCATGGAGACAATCAGCCTGTGACACTGCTGAGGTGTTATGGAGGCCCAGGATGCTTCGATAGCGACCTTAAGCTCATCCAGAGTGTTGGGTCTTGTGTCTCTCAACTTTCTCTTCACAATATCCCACAGGTTCTCTGTGGGGTTCAGGTCAGGAGAGTTGGCAGGCCAATTGAGCCCAGTAATACCATGGTCAGTAAACCATTTACCAGTGGTTTTGGCACTGTGAGCAGGTGCCAGGTCGTGCTGAAAAATGAAATCTTCATCTCCATAAAGCTTTTCAGCAGATGGAAGCATGAAGTGCTCCAAAATCTCCTGATAGCTAGCTGCATTGACCCTGCGCTTGATAAAACACAGTGGACCAACACCAGCAGCTGACATGGCACCCCAGACCATCATTGACTGTGGGTGCTTCACACTGGACTTCTGGCATTTTGGCATTTCCTTCTCCCCAGTCTTCCTCCAGACTCTGACACCATGATTTCCGAATGACATGCAAAATTTGCTTTCATCCGAAAAAAGTACTTTGGACCACTGAGCAACAGTCCAGTTTTGCTTCTCTGTAGCCCAGGCCAGGAGCTTCTTCCGCTGTTTCTGTTTCAAAAGTGGCTTGACCTGGGGAATGCGGCACCTGTAGCCCATTTCCTGCACACGCCTGTGCACGGTGGCTCTGGATGTTTCTACTCCAGACTCAGTCCACTGCTTCCGCAGGTCCCCCAAGGTCTGGAATCGGCCCTTCTCCACAATCCTCCTCAGGGTCCGGTCACCTCTTCTCATTGTGCAGCGTTTTCTGCAACACTTTTCCCTTCCCACAGACTTCCCACTGAGGTGCCTTGATACTGCACTCTGGGAACAGCCTATTCGTTCAGCAATTTTTTTCTGTGTCTTACCCTCTTGCTTGAGGGTGTCAATGATGGCCTTCTGGACAGCAGTCAGGTCGGCAGTCTTACCCATGATTGCGGTTTTGAGTAATGAACAAGGCTGGGTGTTTTTAAAAGCCTCAGGAATCTTTTGCAGGTGTTTAGAGTTACGTCGTTGATTCAGATGGTTAGGTTAATAGCTTGTTTAGAGAAACTTTTCATGATATGCTAATTTTTTGGGACAGGCATTTTGGGTTTTCATGAGCTGTATGCCATAATCATCAGTTTTAAAACAATTAAAGACCTGAAATATTTCAGTTGGTGTGCAATGAATCTGAAATATATGAAAGTTTCATTTTTATCATTACATTATGGAAAATAATTACCTTTATCACAATATGCTAATTTTTTTAGAAGGACCTGTACTTTATAGCTCCTTTTAGTGCACGTTAAGACTAGAACTAGTGTTTGAGATCACGTTAGGTGTATTGTTTATGCTTTGTCATGCCTCCCGCTTGCTTATTGAGAGACAAACAGCCCATAACTAGAGCTACTTTAGACACAAGCTGTGTTAACAAGGAGAAGGTTGTGAAGTGGGCTAAATGTGGATGTGAGACTTTTTACTGGTGGCTGCTTAAAGTTACAATTTCCAGGGAGCATGGCTTCCAGAGAAGGCAGAAATAAATCAGATGTGTTATGAGATTCACTCAGGTTCCACATTGTGCACAAGTGGAGACATTATAAGTGAGTGAGACCCTCTTTTCTGCCTTTATTTTACACTCACCCTGCATTGCTCCTTTGTTGCAGCTCCTCATGGGCAAACCCTGTTGTAAGAAAGCAGATTACACCGTGCCTCCTCATGGCCACAGTTTGGGACATTAGCTGAATTTGCTTCTGCATACCTGCTGAGCCTTTGAGTTGATCAGCCTGGCTGCTGGGCGTGTTTGAATACGAGCGATGCAGGAAGATGTTTAGAATTCCCTCCACGGCGCAGCAAACTGAGCTTTGCAGAGATTTCTCATGAGTTTAGTGCTTCTTGCTCCAAGATTTGTGAATGAAAGGTTTAAAAAAAAAAAAAAAAGAACAGTTCACTGTGGACAGCATTGAGTACTGAGACACTGTCATCTCCTTAACCCATTTACTGACCCTTAAACGTGGCACTGGTGCAATATTCTGTGAACCCACATGTATGCATGACAATAAAAAAGAAACATATGAATAACAATTGTATAACAAACTTTTTTTTTTTTTTTTTGCACACTCAAAAGTAGCAAGGAAAACCCTGTAGCTATGTTTTTTTTTTTTATTTTTTTTTTTTTAAAGATTTGCCTGAGCAAGTTCAAGTCTGACTGAAGAGAAGTCTGGTCACAGACAACCAAGAGTTTGTTTCATCATCCATGAACAAGCAGCAACTATTGCCTCATGCATTGCTTGAGTCTCAACAATGTTTTAAAATCACATCTTGCTTTGAAGGCTTTATTGCAATTAAAAAAAATAATGTGCAGAAATGTGTTTCTGCAAAATCTATTTATATAAAATGGGAAGTAAAAATGGAAGGAAGAAAAAGCGGTACGAAATGGGAGCGAGCAGAAAAAAAAATGCATCAGTGATTCATTGCATGGCCTTTCAATCATTCCCAGTAGGTGTCTGTGAGTGTGTGTGTGTGTGTTTGTGTGTGACCTCAATACTCTGATCACCCCCAACAGTAAAACTGTGTCAAGTTAAGCCTGTAAAATACAATGAGGGTCCTATTTAACATTCATTGGGTCAACTTCCCCACAGTGATCTTTTTTGTGGTTTGTGTATCTGTAACCATGTGAACGTGTGCATCACGAAAACAAAAATCTAGAGCTGTTCTATTATCGTATGTATCAGTGCAGTAATTAGGGCCCACCTCACTGAAGCCTGGTCTGAGGTGAACATTTCTTCAAGGCTTGGAAAGATGTTTCTAAGCTCCTGGTCTGACTTTGCTGCACAGACAGGCTGGCCCAGCCTCATTTATCATCTCTGACCTATAACCTCTTTGTCATTTTCTTCTTTTCATTTGCTCCTATGTGCGCACACACACACACACACACACGTCAAGCAGAGTACCAGTAAATGAAGACAAATCAGCGAGTTGCAGATGCTCACTTTCTCGTAGGAACCACTATTTCAAAATCTGGTGTAGTCCCAAGGATATTAAACCTCTTTGTTGTCATGGTGATTTGTTGTTGTTGAGTTTTTTGAACATACTAATAGAGAGATGTGTTTAGTTGGAAGTACGCTCCACTTCAGTTTGTCTTGTAGCACTTCCATAAAAGGTTTAAAAGCAGCAGTTCTCATTTCCAAACATCCTCAATGATCTGCTTAAGAAACATTTGAGGGGAGACTAGTGGATGCTGCATGGAGTGGATTATTTCTTTAGACAACCACAACTTTAGATCCAGCTTGATATGTAATGTTTATCAACAAAAAAAAAAATCTGTGTTGAATTTAAAAAGCCATGATTTTATTTATTTATTTATTTTTACATAAATAAATGGAAAAATAATTAGGGTGTTGTGTTAATCTTTATAATGTGTTGGTTAGTTTGATGATATACCACAGTAAATGCCTATTATAAGTGTCTTTCTGTCTTCCTCTCACCTTTTTCAGGCCTTTGGTAATGCTAAAACGGCCCACAACAACAACTCCAGTCGCTTTGGTAAATTCATCCAGGTTAATTATCTGGAGAGTGGAGTGGTCCGAGGGTAAGTAATCCATCACCTTCTACCTCCACCATGTCGTTTTTTGTGCATTTCAAAAAGCCCTCCCACATTTTTTTTTTCTTCAAGACATTTAGAACCTCCCTGTAGCCAGTTGTCTTCCTCTTTGCCCTTTTTATGGCTGGTCATGTGTCTCAGTGCATATGTGGAATCAAACTTTTAACCATTAGATCCCTCTTCCCTTTTCTCAGCATTTAAACTCTGGTTAGAAGCTGCATCACAGTCTTGTCAGCTGAGTCACTTCCTCATTTCCTCATCAGGAGAGAGGAACCGCTGCTCGCTACTGTGTCTTTTAAGAACAAACCATGTCATGCATTAATTGTGAAAGAGTGTAAAACCTGCAGGCTGTGAGCGCAATGTTCAGACCTAACAGCATGAATTTTCTGACATCGTTGCATGAGTTAAATTCTCCAGTTCTCAAAATAAAACGTGATTTGAAATGTGTAAATGCCTGTGGTGACAGCTGCTCAGCTTTGCAGTAAGTGGGCATCCTCAGTCAGTTGATTATCCTCTAATGGCACCCACTCCCATCATGCTCTGCTAGATTTTTTTTACACCTAGAAGGGTCTGGTATTCAGGCTGCAGGCTTGATTGTAGTGAACTGGGGCTTTTCTTAGCTACAAGCTGAAACCTCAGAGACAATAAAATGCACACTATAATCTACTTGATGCAAACTGCCTCTTCTAATTTAACATCTGCTTTCTGTGCTACTGTAGCTTTGTTTCTTAACAACAAAAGACTCCGGACCTTCACAGCTCCACTCAGTGGACTTGACAAAGACTGCCTGTCTGTCTATCCATCTTCAGTGGCAGCTATTCAAGCAGTCAATAGAGAAGACTTACAAAGGAGAGGCTGCCGTTCCCCTTTCCTCTGCTCTCAAAGTAACAGATGGACTGTTAACAGAAAATACTCTTGGAATATAAAGACGGATCAAAATAGTGAAAATGAACACACTTTAAAATTTGTGTGTATGTGAAGGAGATGAGTGCTTGCCTATTAGTGTTTTATGGTTAAACTTTGCAGCTGGAAAGAAAAAGCCTTATGGTTTACATCATTGTTCTACTCAATAAACCAGTGGTTGCTAAAGTTGGAGTCAGGATCCTATTGCAGGTCACGAAAAAGCAGGTGGGAGTTCTTGGATAATCTTCAAATAACAACTTGCACTTAACAAAAGGGTTTTTTATGGCATATGTTCACTGTAATTGTTAAAATAATTTTAAAAAGAGTCACCGTAAATTAATAAAATAAAATAGTATTGTGTTTGTTAAGACTGTTTGTGGTACAGTAGTCCCTCGTTTATCGTGGGGGATCCGTACCCTGAAGCCCTGCGAGCAGTGAAAAACCGCAAAGTA